TTCAGCACAGTTCTGAAAAAAAAGTTTTTCCATCCAATCAAAGCATTTTGTACAAAAGTCCGAGATCTTTCGTACCGGTATACAATAATTGGTACCCAGCCATGCGACGTGGCCCTTCTTTCTACGGTTATTGAAACACTGGAAACGATGTCAGTGTGTGTGAAAATCAGTTTTCAAATCAGTTCAATTTGTGATCTCTTTTCGTTTTTGAAATAGTAAGTTTAAAGGTGCATGATGGAGCTGAGGGCATTGCTGGATTCAGGGGCCATTCAAATATTATATTATTGCTGTGCGAGTTTTTTTTATTGTTTAAAATTGATTGATGAAGGTTCCACTATTGGATCATGAATTTTGGGAAAAATTCATTCAGGCTCCAGTCGAGAAACTTGTGCCAATTTGAGTTTGCATTGGACATCGCTTCTCAAATGATGCTGATGTCTTTCTTGTTGTTCGTCACTAGCTTGCCTTTTTAATTACGAACTTTTTGCTTTGTTGACTTTTGTCATTCATGGTTCCTTTCCACTAAATTTATATGCATCACAGTGTGATGGGATATATTATTTTTGAGGTTTATTTATTGAAGCTGATGATTTCAACAGTTTCTCCTTAGTAATTACTTTAGTGAACCAGTTTTTTTTTTAATGGAGACACTTTGAGGGCTCTTTTAGAAGTAGAAAACTACGTAGTTTTCTTTTTTTTCATTAACTAAAGTTTCATGTGAGAGTCTAGTCATTTCCCAGACACATCATTTTTCTTTTTATTCGCGTTTGAATTTTTGTTGGTGGTGTTGGTTTACGTTTTCCGTTTGTCGTTTATATTATAATCGGAGGGCTTCCAAATAATTTTTGTGCGGTCGTTCTTCATATATGAGTTTGTTCTAATACAAGCACAAAGAAATATACCGGTACTTATATTACGCGCATCTGCATTTTTGTGATGTTTAAAGATGTAGACCTTTTCCGTTGTACTGCAAAATTTACTAAACAACCCTTCTTGAACTTCGTTTAGTAATAACTCCACCCTCATATAGGTCAACCAGAAACTCCAGACTGTGACGTAATAAGTCTTTTGCAGAAACCTATGCATCTTTTTGTAAAACTTGATTGATTTGCTAATTATTACAGGTTCTAAGCTGCATTCAAAACATTCCAGATGCATGATTATTCGTAAGCAGTTTCATTTCATGACCTAAAGTGTCATTTTTTTTCAATACAGTAGTTGCAGCGTAACCCGAAGCAGCCGGTCTTAGGAGAAAACCGCGTGTGTTATTTTCGAAGTTGGAAGAATAAAGCCTGCTTAAAGTGTGGAAACTATATCTTTTATTTTTATAAGCCCTAAAATAGCATTCGATTCTGTCAATTTTTTCGATTGAATGACGGTTAGGTTAATTTCATTCTTCGAAAACTCTGTCGAGTTGAGAATAGCCCGACCAAACAGCCGATTCGTATGACGCAGAAAAATTCTCAAGCTCAAGTAATTTTTCCTGCTTCCGCAAAAAAATAGTGAGCGAGAAAACCTGAACGCGTTGTTTTTGCAGTGCTTTTGCAGTGTCTCGAGTTGACGACAGCCCAAAACAGATTTACAAAACCCTACGTAGGCTCCTTAGACCACTTTAACATATGAGTAGAAACTATCAGGCAAAAGAACAGCTCTATTCAGAAGAATCGACTTTTGAAAAAAAAAATGCTCCCTCGTTGGTCAATCAAGCGCTTTATACGGAATTTTATTTGAAAAGGTTGTTTTAAGGGTCAAGAAGAGGAAGAGAATTTCGTGGACAATAAAACATTCACAAAATGTCTCCCCGCATAATAAATCTCCCTTACTTGTTTACATTCGAAGATGAATTTTTCATCATCTTTATAATGATTTCGACCCATGAAAATTGCTAGAGTGAGTTTCGTAAGAAGTGCAGAAAATACAGGATGAAAGAGGTTTCCGTCATCAAGATCATTTACGGCCATCAGCAGTCGTTCGTTCTTTTTAACTCCGTCCACTTATTTCCGACTTATCATCATGAGACTCAAAAGTTTCTGATTTTAGAGAGGAAAAGCATCCCGTTTCGATAAGCTGTGTCAAGCTCAAGATTTTCGAGTGTATAGAATTACATGTCTTGTCAAGAACGTCGGTCACTGCATTTTGAACCGTGTTGCGAGTTTCATCGAGTGTCGAGTGTTTTACAATTTCACAACTCGTCTGTTAGNCTGTGTCAAGCTCAAGATTTTCGAGTGTATAGAATTACATGTCTTGTCAAGAACGTCGGTCACTGCATTTTGAACCGTGTTGCGAGTTTCATCGAGTGTCGAGTGTTTTACAATTTCACAACTCGTCGTCATTATTCAGCAGAAACGGATCAATAAAGCTTGTATTCTTTTCCTGCACTAAAAAAATTAAATCCGCTGAATTTTATCATAATTAGGCTTTAAAAAAAGAGAATGGCGAGTCTTTTCGTGGAATGCGAAGAGTGGCTCATTAGGTCCGAGGCGTTGGAGCAGAATTGGCGAAGAAGATGGTTCACGTCCGGTTCCGAATGGCTGAATTTGGCGGACGCTTTACGTGACGGGACGAGTCTATGTGCGCTGATTCGTCGCATTCTTCCGAATGCCATTCACCCGGAGGACATCAAAACTGGGGAATTATCTGACGTGAGATGAGTCCAGGAATCTTATTGTTCTGTTTTCTTATCTCACACTAATTGCGGAGGAATAATCGTCTTCAAGTACTGTATAATAAGCATACAATACTGTGCATACGACGGGTTACACGGTTCTGCGCGGATCAGCGTGTTATGGATGCTGTTCTGCAAGGGGAAGCATCTAAATTTAAAAACTGAACATTTTAATAAGGTTTGTTTCAACACATGGTTCAAAAGGGCTGAGAAATGTCTACAAATGGGTGGTGATGACATTTAGGAAGTGTCTACCTAGCTTCTTGGAACTAGTGAACGCGAGAAATTTTTTTTTTCAAATAATCTCTGGCGTTAGATCATTTCAAGTCCGCGTGTAAACGTGTAATCCCTCGGATAAACGTATTTAGAGTCATAAATAAAGAAATGAATTTCTGACAATTGACTCGCCCTAATGATGTGAATAAGCAATACCCGATGTCACTTTTGTGATGTCATAAAACCAAGAAATCCTTTCACGAAAGAGGATGAGGATCGACAGCTCAAGTATAATCGATGAAAGACTCGAAGTGTTTAAAAAACGTGTATGAACCAATCAAGAATAACTACTGTATTGGCAAAAATAAAGTACTGTATAGATGAACAGATTTTGGCAACAAAAAATTCCAAAACCAGAATTTCTTTGAGCCCAGAAAAGTGCACAAGGGGAGATTTGTTGATTTTGAATTCGGAATTTGAAGCGTTTCGTCATCGGGAGAAAACTAATTACAAGTTTCATTCTTCTTTCAGAAACGCGCAAATAACAAAACCAAGGTTAAATCAGTATTTGATTCATCTTGATCCAAACCCTTTGTTCATTGTGGTCTCAAAAAGAGAACTTATTATAATTCTTAGATTCAATTACGGGTGTCTGATTACCATTGCGTTTTTAACGTTTCATTTGGTTGAAATGAGATCAATTCATAGAT